ATCTAGCAGAGCATTACTAAATATAGTGTAAAAATGCTCTGCTGGAATGCTAAGCTGGCTAGGCAATCTAGCAGGGCATTCATAAATATAGTGTGAAAAAAATGCTCTGCTGGAATGCTAAGCTGGCTAGGCAATCTAGCAGGGCATTACTAAATAGAGTGAAAAATGCTCTGCTGGAATGCTAAGCTGGGTAAGCAATCTAGCAGGGCATTACTAAAAATAGTGTTAAAATGCTCTGCTGGAATGCTAAGCTGGCTAGGCAATCTAGCAGGACATTACTAATATACTGTACAAACGCTATTTTGGATTGCTAAGCTGGCTAGGCAATCTAGCAGAGCATTCCTGGTTTTATAGTGAAAAATGCTCTGCTGGATTGCTAAGCTGGCTAAGCAATCTAGCAGGGTGTTACTAAATATAGGGTACAAAGCTCTGCTGGAATGCTAAGCTGGCTAAGTAATCTAGCAGGGCATTACTAAATATAGTGAAAAAAAAATGCTCTGGTGGAATGCTAAGCTGGCTAGGCAATCTAGCAGGACATTGCTAAAATATAGTGTATAAATGCTCTGCTGGAATGCTAAGCTGGCTAGACAAATCTATCAGGGCAATACTAAATATAGTGAAAAAAAATGCTCTGCTGGAATGCTAAGCTGGCTAGGCAAATCTAGCAGGGCATTACTAAATTATAGAGAAAAAATGCTCTGCTGGAATGCCAAGCTGGCTAGGCTGGAATGTTAAGCTGGCTAGGCAATCTATCAAGGCATTACTAAATATACTGTACAAATGCTACCGGGTATTCTGGAATGCTAAGCTGGCTAAGCAATCTAGAAGAGCTTTCCTAGTTAAAGTAAAAAAATGCTCTGCTGGATTGCTAAGCTGGGTTAGCAATCTAGCAGGGTGTTACTATATATAGTGTAAAAATGCTCTGCTGGAATGCTAAGCTGGCTACGCAATCTAGCAGGGCAAAACTAAATATAGTCAAAAAATGCTCTGTTGGAATGCTAAGCTGGCTAAGCAATCTAGCAGGGCATTCCTAAATAAAGTGTAAATTTACTCTGCTGCAATACTCAGCTGTCTTGGCAGTCTAGCAGAGCATTACTAAATTTAGTGTACACATGCTCTAGTGGAATGCTAAGCTGGCTAGGCAAAACTAGCAGGGCATTACTAAAATATAGTGTAAAAATGCTCTGCTGGAATGCTTAGCTGGCTAAGCAATCTAGCAGAGCATTCCCTAAATAAAGTGTAAAATTGCTCTGCTGCAATGCTCAGCTGTCTTGGCAATCTAGAAGAGCATAACTAAATATAGTGTAAAAATGCTCTGCTGGAATGCCAAAACTAGCAGAAATATCCTGAAAAATTAGTGTGAAAATGCTGTGTTAGAATAAGCAATCTTGCGGTGGCATTTCTAAATTATAGCATTAATAAGCTCTGCTGGAATGCTCAGCTGGCAGGACTGATTCTGAGTTCCAGGATTTATTGTTGCGAACGTTTTATTGACATTTTTTGACTTCCGGCACTTCTGAGCGCACTCGCAGACTTTCAGGAATTTTTGGTACTAATAGAAATAATGATAATTTTTGACTTCTCAGGACCTTTAAGAGAACTATTTCATTTGTCCTGCAACATTTTGATGGGACACTCGCAGACTTTCAGGGGAAATTTGGTGCCAATGCTGATATTGACAAAAATAGACTTCCTAGGGACCCCCAAGAGTCCATTTTGTTAGTCTGCGACTGATTTCCCGGACACTCGCAGACTTTCAGGAATGGTTGGTGCAAATGGAAATATTCATATTTTTGACTTATAGGTCCCTTTAAGTGTCATTGGCGCTGCAGCGTATTGTTGGAACCCGCAGACTTTCATGAAAGTTTGGTGCCAATAGAGATGATGGCATTTTTTTCTTTTTAGGGACCCGCAAGAGTCCGTTTTTATGGTCTGCGACTGATTCTGGGACATTCGCAGACTTTCAGGAATCTGTGGTGCCAATGGATATAATGACATTTTTGACTTCTAGCAACCCACCAGAGCTCATTTCGCTGGTCTGCGACTGATTTTGGGACACTTGCAGACTTTCAGGAATTTTGATGCCAATGGAGATAATGACATTTTCTGACTTCTAGGAACTGCCAGAGTACATTTCTTGGGTCTGCGACTGATTCTTTGAGAGACTCGCCGACTTTCAGGATGTTTAGTGCCATTGCAGATCATGACATTTTTTACTTTTATGGACCCCTTAGTCATAAGCAGAGCATTTTTTACTCTAAAAATGTCATCATCTGCATAGCACCAAAAATTCCTGAAAGTCTGCAAGTGCCTAATAATCAGTCGCAGACCAACAAAATAGACTCTGGATGGTCAAAATGTCAAAATTGTAATTATCTTCTATTGGCACCAAAAAATTCCTGAAAATCTCTGACTGTCCAAGAATAAGTCGCAAACCAAAAAAATGGACCCTGGATGGTCTCTAGAAGTAAAACAATGTCATTATCTGCCTTGACCAAAATTCCTGAAAGTCTGCGAACGAAATAGAGACTAACGAAATAGACTCAGGAGGGTTCTAAAAATTCACAAATATCTGCGTAAACACCAAAAATTCCTGAAAGTCTGCGATCGTCCCAGAATCAGTCGGAGACCAAAGAAACAGACACTTGAGGGTCCCGTAGAAGTCAAAAATGTCATTATCTGCATTGGCACTAAATATTTCAGAAAGTCTACGAGTGTCAAACACATCAGTTGCAGACCAACGAAATTTTATACTTTATACATTATATTTTTGGAATGCCCCACTTGATTGCTTAGCCAGCTGAGCATAACAGCAGAGCATTTTTAACATTATAATTTGAAATGCCCCGCTAGATTGCTTAGACAGCTGAGCATAAGAGGCAGAGCATTTTTACATTATATTTGGAATGTCGCGCTAGATTGCTTAGTCAGCTGAGCACAACAGCAGAGCTTTTTACACTATATTTTGGAACGCCCCGCTAGAATTGGCTTGCAATTTGAGGCTTGAAAATTAAAGCAGAGTATTTTTTACACTATATTTAGGAAAAATGCCCTGCTTAGCATTGCCTAGCCAGTAGATGACCAAAGCAGATCATTTTGTTACACTTAAGTTTTTGGAATGCCTCGCTTGATTGCTTTACCAGCTGAGCAATAACCAGCAAGGAAAAATTTAACGCTATAATTTTGGAACGAGCCCTGCCCAGATTGCTCATAGCCCAGCTGAGGGCATAACCAGCAGAGCCCTTTTTAAAACACTATATTTAAGAAATTGACCTGGCTAGGTTGCTTACCCAGGCGCGAGCTGGCATAACAGCAGAATGTCATGGGATGTTTCCCCAATTAAAAAATCGTAATTGGGGCCATTTTCCTTTGCTCACTGTTAACATTGCTAACTTCTCAAACCATACCAAGTTCATAAAGCCATTTGAACTTGTATTGTTATAACTTAATCTTTAGAATATTAAAAATATACAAAAATAACGGGAATTTAGGTTTTTTCTTCAGGAGGAATATTTTAAATGATAAACACTATGGAATTTTCTCCTTAAAATGCACGCAAATCATTTTTCAACGCTTAATATATTTTTACGCTTAAATATACTTTTAAACGCGACAAAAAAAAATCGTATTATGTAATTTACAAATATGAGGCCTTTCATTTAACCGTCCGCTTCAAGTTGTGTCCCTTTTTAATGGACGTCCATTGATCGAATACGGCGGACATAATGTTGCGCCATATGACTAACTTTTTTAATTTTTTAATTTAATAATTTTTTTTTTGGAAGCTTCCCGCCCAACTTCAAAACATTTGTTGTTTTTCATTTGATTCATCAATTTTTAACAAAAAAGAAAATATTATCTAAAGATAAAAGTCAACTTTTTCAAAGAATATCCCCAAAAAAAAAAAAAAATTTTTTTAAAAAGAATAGTATTTTGATTTAAAAAAGGGTTTTTCTGCAAGTAAATGCCTTTTTGTCACATGTAAAAAACCAGATACCCTTAAAATACTAACCCTTTGCCAGTCTGACCCCGTTTTAAATCAAATTTTAATTACCTTGATAACCCCAAACTTAATAATGGACTGTTCCAAAAATGGAAGCTGGACAAGTCCTTCAGGATTTTTTCCTAAGCACCCTCATTTTCTGCACTGCTCTTCTGCAAAACAACTTCCGTAACGTTTTTGTTTTGTTTTGTTTTGTTTTTTTTTTCTTCTATTTTTAAAAACTTATTTTGGAGTATTTCAGGCGCATATTCATGTAAATATAGAGATTTGGTTATTGAAATAGAATATATTCTACAATAATAATAGTGAAAGAAAATATATGCGAGCGTCTTAGATATCACGTGACCAGCGCTTGTTGTAGTCTCTTTTGTGGAATCTGTTACATTTACCACCTGTAATAAAAGATAGTTATATATAATACATCTATTAAAGGAAATACGTGTATATACAATTAACAGTCATTATGCATGGAATACAGGGCAAAAAAAAACAAAAACCAAAAGTTTGTTTATGATCAAAAATGTTATAACATTCTAAGCTCTGGTTGGGTTTTATGTCACGTAGCAGCACATTAAAGGTCATATGGCGAACTTTCCAGCTTTTCTTGTGGAGGAATACCTCAGGCCCCCTTAGTGCATTAATTTCCGGGCACGGGCGAGCACCTGAAAAGAAAACCACTGGCGTTCCGTAAGCTAGATAGATTGCTTCCTTCCATGAAGGAATCCAAAGTCACTGGCGGGTTTCGAACCTACGTCGATGACACCCTAATAATATTCTATACATTCTTTATCGTTCGCTAAATTCGAAAATATTTTTTAATGCAGAATTTCTATGACTTTGAAATAAATGAAATATTCTTAAGTTGTAAAGCATGATTTTTGACCACCTTATCATTTTAATATGAGAGACTTTATTGTGTTTGACGGGAGGGATTTCGTCCGTATAGATTAAATACTAAAAGTGTCAAAATATAAAGCTGTATTTATCTGAGATATACCTGTTGGGGTTGAGGAAACAGTTTGCTTTGTTGTCGCTGCTGTTTTTGTTGTTCCTGCTGTTACTGTAGTTGTTGCTGCTGTCGCTGTTGTGTTACTTTTAGATGTTGTGGTAGCAGTGGTGCCATCTGGGGGTGTAAGCGGTGGTGAGACTGTTGTAGGGGGCGCTGTCTCTGTTGCTCGATTACCAGTGTCAGTGTCACCAAAGCCACGCTTGTATCGTCTGCTAAATGTAATGTATTGTAAGTTTCATAGATATAAGGGTGTAGAATTACGCCTTTTCAAATTTGTTTTATTAATCTTCTCGGCAGTAGATTCAAGGACAGATCATTCCAGTCTAGACAACAAGGTCAATCCTCTGTCCTAGCAGTAAGTTCTAGAACTAAGCAATATGTTCTAGGATGGGTCAGTCCGGTCTAACCAATCAATAAGTTCTAGGACTGGTCGATCCGGTCTAACCAAATAGTTCTAGAACTGGTCAATCCGGTCTAACCAATAAGTTCTAGGACTGGTCAATCCGGTCTAACCAATAAGTTCTATAACTGGTCAATCCGGTCTAACTAATAAGTTCTAGAACTGGTCAGTCCGGTCTAACCAAATAAGTTTCTAGGATTGGTCAGTCCGATCTAACCAATTACGTTCTAGGATTGGTCAGTCCGATCTAACCAATAAGTTCTAGGACTGGTCAGTCCGCCGAGTCCGGTCTAATCAATAAGTTCTAGGATTATTCAGTCCGGACTTACCAGTAAGTTCTAGGATTGGTCAGTCCGGTCTAAACCAAAAGTTCTAGGATTGGTCAGTCCGGTTTAACCAATAAGTTCTAGAACTGGTTAGTCCGGTCTAATAAATAAGTTCTAGGATTATTCAGTCCGGGCTTACCAGTAGTTCTTAGAACTTTGTCAGTCCGGGGGCTTTTTAACAATAAGTTGTATAACATGGGGAAAGTCCGGGTCTATACAATTTAAGTTCTAGGACCTGGTCAGTCCGGGTTCTTCAAACAATAAAGTTCTATGACTGGTTAATACGGTCTAAGTATATAAAGTTCTTGGATTATTCAGGGTCCCGGTCTGAAAAAAATAATTTCTAAGGGATGGGTCCAGTCCTGTCCCTCGACCAATTCAGTTCTAGGACTTGGGTCAGTCAGGTCTTAAAGAAATAAGTTCTAGGACCTGGGCCAGTTCGGTGTGAGTATTTAACTTATTCATGATGGGATGGATGTCGTACAAATTAATCATTAGTGAATAATAACAAACATTGTCTCTACTACTTATGCTTTTTTTACGAATTTAAACACGTCGCCTTTACATTTATCAAATTTACTAAAAGTGATTTTAAATCAACATTTGAAACAATTTATATTTGGTGTTATATGGTGTCTTTCGTTAGTTTTGGGCCAAACAGTTTTTGGAAACGTCATGAATTGTAATGTTAGTGTTTTAAAACTGACTAAGGGAATATAAAATCTCTCAAAATTATTCATTTCCCCGGAGAATTGTTCTAAAGGAACTTTTCCGTTTTTTGTGGGTCCTAAGTTATTTTGTGTTACCTTTCGTGTATTAATATTTTAGACCACTTAGACCACCATTTTGCTTATGGTTTTGTGAGTCTGTATTGTATTTGTATATCAATTTGTAACGTTAGTTATTTCAAAATAAGCATATCATCAACAAAATATACTGAAAACAACAAAGAAAGAAAGAAAGAAACACAAACAAACGCAGAAAACACGAAAGAAAATCAATTAGTATACATTAATGCTGCATGTTATCAATATCGCTGCGTCTAGAAAAATTTCATTCATAGATTATAATTAAAAATCATAAAAACTCAAGTGTTGATTTTATTTTAACAAAGTTGAAGGATCAATCCTCGTATTATCTCTGTCAATGTCTTCACTTTCCGTATCAAATGTTAATTTGAAAAGCGGATTAAGTGACCAGATGTTTTTTGTTCCTGGTCATACAGACCTTCATTTGATTTAATTTTGCCGAAGCTTCACGAACTTATTTATAAACTATGTATGTAACTGTCTAACTCACCCCACTTCTACTGGAAGAACTTTCTGAGATTTAGGGAAGTGAACGCTTTTGAACAATACCACATCGTTGCCTTCACCTGTAAAATGTATATCGCAATTTTAATATATAATTTGGATTAATCATCATCATAATTATCATCATCATTATCATCGTTATCATCATCATCAACATCATCATAATCTTTAATGATTATTATATAATCTTATTTTTTTTTCTTCTCATTATTTGGTTATTTTTCAGAACTATTTATTATTATCATTAATTATTAATTTATTATTATTATTATTATTAAATTATTATTATTAATTAATTATCATTATTATTATTATTATTATTATTATTATTATCATCATCAATGACTAGGTACTGTCTTTCCTGATATATCACTGTGTGGACATACAGTAAAAAAATATGTGTTCATTTATATTTCGATCATCATTATATTTGCCCCTTATTTAACTAGGTCTGTTTTAAATACAAATGCAATAGTATCAGTAATTTTTGTTATAAATGAAAATAAATAAAACTTTGATTAACTTACCGTAAACTGCCAGTAAAATTATGACTGAAACTATTCCTAGTGCAACCCGCATTTTCTTGATGAACTAAAACCAATCAGTATATGACAGCTTTTCATATACCAAATACGGCGGATCTAAAGGTCGTGCGCCAAAGCGTTTATACATGTGTATCGCTACATGCTTTTTATAATTTGAGCAAAAATTATAAATGTAAAAACGATAATTTGATGAAAAAAATATATGAAGCGTTTTATTTATGTTTAAATGTGCGAAATCCAATAAAATATTGCGCATTCCACATAATATGTGTCTTAATTTGCATTTTTTTCATAAAAATGCTATAAAAAAACTTTAAAGAGGTACTTGTTAAAATCAGTAAAATTTGGGAAAAAATTAAAAATTTTTAAAGGACATGAAGTTAAACGTAATTTGGGTAAAATTTAAACATTTTTTTTGTATATTAAAAATAAAAAAAAAAAAAGTTCAAAAACATATTTTTAAGCAATTAAGGAAACAGACGGATGGTTTTTTTCCCCCCCTGCAGCACATTTTTTAACCCTTTTGGGGCGGCCCCCTTTTAAATACAGTGTTTTTCCGGGTTAAAGGGGCCCTCGCGTTTTCTCTGGAAAAAGGGAAAAAGCGCGAAAAAAAGGACAGTTTCGATTGGGGACAGTAGGACAGTACGGGGTGGGGGACAGTACGGGCAGTACCCATGGTGTACTTGACAATGCGACAAATGGGCAACCAAGCCCCCCGTGCTTCGTCATCTTTCTGTCGTATTGTCACCATTATTCTGTGCATTGTCACCATCGTATACTGTCATGTTTCGCGCTTTTCGTTCTCATAGAAAACGCTCTGGCCCTAACAGAACACCGTAGTTACATGTAAGTATGACATTGCTCTTCGAAAAAAGTAACCTGATTTTTGAGCTCTGTGCATCATCACATAATGGCGATCATCTATGTCATGTGATTTTTTCTTCCTATTTTTTTCAGTAAAGCTCCATAAAGGTTATGGAGCGGACACAAAACCTGATTGTTGCGCTCTGCACATTGCCTGGCAATTGTGGCCTATGTGCCAAGTAAAAAGACTTTCCATCAGTTTAAAAGTTATGAATCAGACATATGCGTGTTACATATGTATGGATTAACAGATGGACAAATTGAGGACATTCCTTAAAAAAAAATTTAAAAAAATTTTTCTTTTAAAAAAAATTTTTTTTTTTAAAAATTTTTTTTAAAATTTTTTCTTTTTTTTTTCCCTTTTTAAAAAAAAAAATTTTTTAAAAAAAAAAAAATTTTTTTTTTTAAAAAAAAAAAATTTTAAAAATTTTTCCCCAAAAAAACATTCCTTTTTTAAAAAAAAAAAAAATTTTTTTTTTAAAAAAGGAAATTTTTTAAAAAAAAAAGGGGAAAAACAAAAGATTTTTTCCCCTTCCCTTTTTTTTTTTTTTTAAACCCAATTTTTTCCCCCCCAAAAAAATTGGGAAAAACCCCCAAATTTGGGGAAAAATTGGTTTTAAAAAATTCCGGGTTTTTTTTAAAAAAGGGGTTTTTTTTTTTTTTAAAATTTTTTTTTTTTTTTTTTGGAAATTTTTTGGGGCCCCAAAAAATTTTGGCCCAAAAAAATTTTTTTGGGAAAAAAAAATTTTAATTTAAAAAAAAGGGGGGGGGGTTTTATGTTTTTTTCCCAAAAAATTAAAAACCCTTTTTTCCCCCCAAAAAAATTTGGGTTTTTTTCCCGGTTTTTTTAAAAAAAATTTTAAAATTTTTTTTTTTTTTTAAATTTTTTATTTAAAAAAAAAAAATTTTTTTTAAAAAAAAAAAAATTTTTTTGGTTTGGGTTTGGGTTTTTTTTTTTGGGGGTTTTTTTTTTTTTTTTAAAGAAAAAAAAAAAATTTAAAAAAAAAAAAAATTTTTTTTTTTTTTTTAAAAAAATTAAAAGGGGTTTTTTTTTTTTTTTTTTTTTGGGCCCCTTTTTTTTTAAAAACCCCAAAAAAAAAAAAAAAAAAAATTAAAAAATTTAAAAAATTTTTTTTTTCCCTTTTTTAAAAAAAAAAGGGGGGGGTTTTTTTTTTTAAAAAAAAAAAATTTTTTGGGGAAAAAAACCCCCCAAAAAAAAATTTTTTTGGGCCGGGGTTTTTTTTCTTTTTGGGGGGAAAATTTTTTTTAAAAAAAAAATTTTAAAAAAAATTTTTGGAAAAAGGGGGTTTTTTTTGGTTTTGTTTTTTTTAAAAAAAAATTTTTTAAAAAAAAAAAAAAAAATTTTTTAAAAAAAAACCCTTAAAAAGGGAAAAAGGGGGGTTTTTTTTTAAAAAAAAATTTTTCCCTTTTTTTCCCTTAAAAAATTTTTTTTTTAAATTTTAAAAATTTAAACCCCCCAATTATTTTTTGGGGGTTTTTTTTTTAAAAAAATTTTTAAAAGTTTTGCTTTAAAAAAATTTTTCCCCCAAAAAAAAAAAAATTTAAAAAAAAGGGTTTTTTAAAAATTTTTTTGGGTTTTTTTAAATTTTTTTTTTTTTTTTTAAATTTAAATTTCTTTTTTTAAAATTTAAATTTTAAAATTGTTTTAAAAAAATTTACCCAAAAAAATTTAAAAAGTTTTAAGGGTTTTTAAAAAAAAACCCCAAAAAAAGGGGCCCCGTTTTAAAGGAAAAACAAAATTTTTTAAAAATTTTTTTTTAATTTTTTGGGGGGGAAAAAATTTTTTTTCCCCCAAAAAAAATTTTTGGAAAAAAAGGGGTTTTTATTTTTTTTTTAAAAAAACCCAAAAAAAAAAATTTTTTTTGAAAAAAAAAAAAAAAAAAAAAAAAAAAAATTTAAAAAAAGGGGGGTTTTTTTTTTAAAAATTTTTTTTTGGGAAAAAAAAAAAATTAAAAAAAAAAATTTTTTTAAAAAAAAATTTTTTTTTGGTTTTTTTTTAAAAATGGTTTTTTTAAAAAAAACCAATTTTTAAAAAAAAAAAAAACCCCCCCCCCTTTAAAAAAAATTTTTTTTTAAAAATTTTTTTTTTTTTTTTTTTGTTTTAAAAAAAATTTTTTAAAAAGTTTCCAAATTAAAAAAAATTTTAAAAAGGGTTTTTAAAAAAAAGGGAAAATTTTTTTAAAAAATTTTTTTTGGATGAGCAACATCAAGGGAGATTACTCATAGCTGCTGATTTCTCTATAAATAGGCTCATGATGTGCACACTTCGATTCAATTAAACATATGGTAATTTATTAAATGTGATCTAGATATACTCTTATGCAAGATAATAACATTTGAATACCACCGTCGTTATCATGTTATCATATTATTGTATCACACTGAAATATATGATATTGTACTAGTCGTTCATAAAGTGTTTTCATCATTCAGGAAAAAAATTCTGTACAACAAATTTAACAATAATTTAGATAAGCTTTACATTCAGACTGGTTAGCAATGATAGATCAGCATGGAGATGTGTTGTGTCATTTTTTATTATGTTCCTCGTACATGTATACAGTTTGTTTCTCATTTTCCATTTATATGAGTATAATAATTGGTAAAATATTTTAGCAAAAGCAGGTGCATGTAGCTAAGTGGTAGCAAAGTATCCATTTCACTAACACCCCATCCCCTTCTCTCTCTGACTAAACAAAAACATATATCCATGCCCCTCATCAAAACAAGAGACTTTTAAAAAATGTAATGTTATTATCAAGATTGTAGTCCGGTTTCAATCTGAGAATTTATTTGTGAAAAAAAAGAAGAAAAAATACTAGTGACTTTTTAAAAGTTTGCGCATACATCACCGTAGGAAACGTGTTACAAGCATTGCGCTTTCAGGTTCAGTAACAGTATTGTACAGTGTACATGTGCTAAATATCAGCGTAAGTAGACTTCATAATCTATATTACCCGTTTTTTTTTTTTTGCTAGGAAACCTTTTCCACCACTTAAACCGATACTTTTCAGAAGTGCTATCAACAAATCAAGGTCCAGCGTTTTTGTAGATTCTGTAGAAGTTTAGTTTATATTCTTCGTTTTTTGCTAGGAAACCTTTTCCACCACTTAAACCGATACTTTTTCAGAAGTGCTTTCAACAAATCAAGGTCCAGCGTTTTTGTAGATTCTGTAGTAGTTGTGGGGGAGTCCGTTGTCAGGGAATCAGTTGTCGGGGCCATAGATGGTGCCGTTGGTGTTGTTGTTTGGACCTTACCCGTGGCGCGGTTGCTCGTGTCTATGTCATTGAATCCACGTCTTAGTCGCCTGCAATATCAAGAGCAACGGTAATTTAAATGTTGCTTAGTACTGTGATTGAATATAGTTGGTTTTTACAGTCTACTATTTTGTTTTGTTTGTATATTATGATCTTAATGTATTCGTACAATAAAATTTGAGCAACTAATTGTTCAAAAGCCATTTTATAAGCGAGACGATGCTTTTATTTTTTATTTAAAAAAAAACAAAACCGTACCCATTAGCCGTGAAGCTTTACTATCTTTTGCCTTTTGGGTGATTTTCACATCAGTAAATTGATTGTTATTATGGGTTTTGGAAGACAAAACATCACTTTTTACATTTTGCTCTATTTTATGACAAATTTAATTTCTTTACTCTTCCTTGTGATAAGCACAATGTCATGCTCTAATGATTAAAACATTGTAAAATACTCAAAGCAATGCGATAGAATAGTAATCTTTGATTGGTACTTTGAGCCCAGGGTCTTATCAACAATACATGTACGAATAGTTTTCCGGAAGAGACCTTAAAATTCGAGGTTCCATGTAGCGTTGCTCTATTCCGGGCAGAATCCGGATTACCCGTAGAATTTTGGCAACTGTTGTATCATGCACATCCCGAAAATAACACCTTGCTGTTAGGGGCGTCGAAATATGGGCTACCTTACAAGAAAGTTAATAATCCGAAAAATAAACCATCAAAGCAAAAGGTGAATTAAATTCTGATGTCCTCAGAATTAAACACATAAATTGATAAATTAATAAAAAATCTCAAAATGAAAATGTAGAAATTAAGGTATGGTCATCCTATTACATTACCTCCGCTTTGAAAGGAGATCCATTAAGGTCTAAATATCGTAACATTTGACATTCTTACATAAGATAAACTAGAACACTTTAGATGAAAAACGTATGCAAAAGAAGATAATAATAAAAACACAAATAGAAAAGTGTTTGTGCATTTCTTAGCTTTATTTGAGTTTCAGGCGTTTAAAAGTTTTCCATTTTTTAATTCATTTTTCACAATTGAAATGATCTTTATGGAAATAAGAGTTGAGCAAATGATCTGAAATTCACATAAAATTTATTGGTCTAGCTAGACCTTTATCAAATGGTACATAAATCATGAAAAATTATTCCTGTCCTTGTCATGTCAACAAAAAACAACCACAAATATAACTATAACTGTTAATAAACTTATAGTGAAAATCTTTAATCATTTTAGAATAAAAACTAAATATCAAAATTATATTTTAAGTGTATTCATTCTGGTATTGAAAGTACATTAAATGAGCCGTGTCACGACAAAACCAACATAGTGCGTTTGCGACCAGCATGGATCCAGACCAGCCTGCGCATCCGCGCAGTCTGATCAGGATCCATGCTGTTCGCTATCAGTTTCTCTACTTATAAGGTATGTAAGCGAACAGCATTGATCCTGAGCTGGGCTTGATCCATGCTGGTCGCAAAACCATTATATTGGTTTTGTCGTGACACGGCTCATTTGTTTGTACATGCATGGAAAATGGGCGTTGGAATTCCGTCCTGTAAGTGCAACTTTACCTTACTGACTTTAAGAGATGGCGAACTTCACTTGTAATTATATAATCACTCCCTTTCTTGAATAATTTGTTATCATCGCCTGCAATTAAAAAAAATATGTAAATTAAATTATTTCTTGTTTACAAACAAGAGCTGCAATGTGACTGTTTTCTTTTTTGCTTATTTTTTTTAACTTAAAATAAAAAAAGCTTTGTGATGGACTGAAACCCTCATTAACACATATACAACTATTCCACAGAAAATATATTTTATGGTATGTATATTACTGAAACCTTCTACATTTGTGTATGTATTCGGAAATATTTGACATTTTCCGTAGTTTACTTCACACAATTTATTAAAATATTGTACAAATTGAATAGATGGTTAATCTTTTTTTTATGTATTGTGATTGTTCTCTGTAAATGACTTGCCATGTATGTATAGCCGTTTTTACAAATGTTAATTGTTATTTACCTTATGTTTGTATCATGTATGATGCACTGAGAGAAATAAAGAATTTGAATTTGATTTATTGTTCTCATTATTAACAATAATTTGTGTTTAAACAATTGTTAAATAAATCAATCAAAAATAAAACTTACCGTTGACTGACCGATGGTCAGCATCCGTGAAAGACAATAAGAAAAATATTCCAAATATGATGTGTAAACGCATGTTTACCTTTTACTTTATTGAACTGTGTTTTGGAAAAATGTGCGAACTGTTCTTTATTTATACAAAGAGGGCTTACTAAAATGTAAAAAACAACTAGTAATTTTTTTTGAAATGATTTTTTTCATACAGTAAGTTTCTTACTGTCATCAGCGTCCACAGCACAGTTTTTCTCCTTTTTTTTCTCTCTTTTTTTTTGTTTGGTTCCATCGAAGCCTGGAATCATACGATTTTGTAACCGTTACACATTTCAAAACCAGGCAATTTCCAGACTTCATACTGCAATAATATGGGAAGTAATATGATTTATCATTGGTAATATACTTTCATTTTAGCAAGCACACAACTTGGCTTTTCCAAATGATCTATAACTATTGCCGAAAAATTGCAAATGTACCAGACTTTATTTATAATTTACGTACTAAATCCCAGTCCGACTGGTTTTCAGTGCCCTCAGTGCCTTGATTTAAAATTGATCAAGCACTGCGAGTACTTGAAACCAGCGAAGCGTAACGAAGATAAGAGAATAAAAGGCAAACCGGAGGATGTCTCTTTGAAAACTTATTTGAGTTCAAGATATTTAAAAAACCAACAGATTTTGCATTATAAAACTCTTAAAAAAAGCTATTGATAAACTTTAGCATGGGAAAACTTTGAAGTAAGTTGGTGTAAATTTGGTTTGTTTTGAAATGTTCACTAGAAATACACTTGTTAACGACTTTAAAAAAGCTATCATGTCGGGTCATATTTTCCTTTTTCGAACATTTTGACCACTCCATCAAAATGAACAACTTACACAAGTAAGATTAATCCAATTCAACCGTTATTGATGATATGATCTTAAGAGTTTAAAGGCGTTTTTGATGTAATTTCATTCTTTCGTTTCAGTCACATCACATACATTTCATATTTCATATCTTCTAGTTTTAAATATGACTTTATCTTTTGTATTTACGTTCTTTCTAAAAGCCTTGATTTAGAGTACTTTTCGCAATACATCTGCCCTAAGCAATAATTTCGAGATATTTGCATTACAGAGAACATTACAGTCTTCTTAATTAAACAAGTATTGGTAGAAATAATGTGATAAACATACATTCATTAATAATAAATTATTCTTTATAAGTATTCAAGTTAACATAAGTTATTTAAGCTTTATTGATAAAGTTTGAAACATATTGAATCGCTCCCTCATTTTCCCGCTTAGCTCGATAGTAACTATCGCACTAGACGCCCTTGATACAATTAGTATATACCAGTAAACTCACACTGTTTTTAATAATTCTATAAAACGACATTTAAGAAATTAATACACCGTAACTTGAAATATATTTTAAAAAGTTTTATATCTGATTTACTTAAATTGCATCAAACTACATTCTGAAGCGTACGCATGAATTTTATAATTGTTGGGCATGCGCAGATGAAGGCGATACCGTTTTCTATTAAAAAGCATTGGAATAAACGCCATTTTAAATTTCAGATAAAAAAAGGATAAGCGCCCAATACTCCCCCTGCCCCATCCTCCATACCCTTCACACGTAGAGGTTAATAAATTAATAGTTATTGCTCCAATGGCGCATAAAACGAATTTGCCGCTCCAATGGCCAATAACACGAAGTTGCCACTCCAATGGCCAATAACACGTAGTTGCCGCTCCAATGGCCTTAACACGAAGTTGCTGCTCCAATGGCCTAAAACGAAGGTCCCGCTCCAATGGCCCATAACACGAAGTTGCCACTCCAGTGGCCCAAAACATGTGATGCGCCTGACTTACAAAAATCAAAATTGCCAGGGAAAGCGCGACCGAAAGGAATAAGTAAATAAATAGAATCAACAATCAAATGCACATCTTGCTTTTTTCCCCTATTTTGTTATTATTCATAGTTCAGTTACCATAATTCAAAATAAAACTATCGTAAAATCAGCAAAACATATATGCTATACATGTATATAAACAGTATTGATTTGTAACTGAATACACCCATTGCCACATTTTCAACCTGCAATATATCAACATGACCGACCCGAAGGTCATGCAATATAATTTATGTATAATCATATATTTCATTTTTGTATTTTATGTGCATTTCCTGAGAAAAGTCAAAAGATAATGTAGAAAACATTATCGGGGGGGGGGGGGGGGGGGGTAGTGAAGCTCCTATTCTCTTTTTCGACCAGATGCACAGTGTTTGATGATTTTAGACATGGAAAGCCTTGATAAATTTGCGCGGTATCTGATCACTGATGTGCCGCCTCCTTCACTTTCTTCTTGTTTTGTTCCATCAAAATTAATTCTGATTTCAGGTTTGCTACTCTTGTAGTACTTTTTTCATTATTTGAATGATTTACTACAAAAAAGGCACGAATTAAGGTAATGTTTGATAAACAAACATAATGTACAGTGCGATCTTTGCAAAAACGAACCCTCTGTACAGCAGTAACATTTTGACAACAACATTACCAGATTATCAGCTCTCATAGTACGTTGACATCTGCTTGAAGAGCAGCGCCTCTAAGCAACACTTAAAACATTAGTCTGTTGTTGCTGTGCAGAAGTTTTACCGTATGATCTTTTCATGTGCGTCTCACGATATGATTTTAGATTTCATGAAAAGAAAAATAAAAGAACTCGTGTATCACTTTTACAAGACTCTTATTTCATATCAGTAATAAAATTAGTATAAACAGAAACGTAATTCATCTATAACCCAGGCATCGTACGCGTACATACATTTATACCAGTTAAAAAAAACACTTGTCTGTCTGTCGTAGCATGCTCAAAATTTAAACTTTTTTGCGGGAAATTTTGGAAATCTACTCCACCACTTTTCTTTAAGTAGTTTTTTCAACTTTTCAATGGCTGAAGATGTTGCATTGGAAATAGTCGTCGGCGAGTTGGTTGTAGGTGCAAGAGTAGTTTGATGTGGGGAGTTGGTAGCTTTTGGGGGAGGAGATGGGGGAGTTGTTGATGTCGTCGTTGAGGAGGGAGTTTCCGTCGCGCGGTTACTTGGGTCTATATCTGTAAATCCACGTTTATTCCGTCTGCAATATCAAACAAAACGGATTTAGAAATTATTAATTTTGTAAGGTAGGTTGGTTTTGACGCCGATTTTAACACATGTTTGGGGACATCTCGGTGGTCGGTCGGTCGGCTTTCAGTATTTACCGATTTTTTCCGCAAGTCATCCAGCATGATTTCTGAATCAACGTTGAGAGGCAAATGATCTTCAGACACATTATCCGAGATAAATTCCGTCGAAGGATCGAACCTGTGATCCCTGGATTACAAATCCAACTCTCTCACTATTGATTGATTTTATCAATATTATATTTGTTATAATTATGTAAGTTGACTGTGATCATTGCCTAAACAGATTTCTTTTGCCATGTAACTGCACATTTAACATTATAAGGAACATTATTAGAACTAGTATGAATAACGTTTATTAATTTTTAGCAAACATCAATGTTTCTTAAAAAAAACTATTTAGAGCCGAAGTGTCCAAATGGTTAAGGTCGTTGCTTTCGCTTGCCCCTCACAAATCTGGGTTCGAATTCCACAAGGGACATTGTATTATTTCATGACAGGAAGCCACCTTGTGCTTCAAATAAGGCAAGGAGAGGTACCGGAGGCCTTCCTCCACCGTTAAAGCTGAAAAATCTTTATGACCTGATATTTTATAAGAGTTTGACTTTTATTCAACCAACCAAGAACAAAGCAAAGAAACCTGCAGAGAAAATAAATGAATACCAATATTGCTGTTTTCCATGGCGATATAGATAATGACATGTATGCATAACCTGTAAAATTTCAAAACTAAGATACATCTTATGTCCTTCGAAAACTTTTTATATAAAATACAATTTTTTGTGTAAAGAGTGGTAGATCTAGTTAGTTTTATTTATAACTTGCATTTTACCTCAATGATGAAAAGAGATGTCGGGCCTCACTATTGATAAAGTGGTATTCGTTTCTTTGTTGAAATACAGCATCATTCTCAGCTGAAATAAAAAGAAGTAAATAATTTATTTAAAAGGTCAGGTCTAAATATCAATATTCGAAACTTTGACGTCAGTAATTCGTCATAAACCGCTCTTAGCAGTTACTTCTGACGGAAGAATATCAGGTAGTGGAGACGACTGCATGGAGGCTGATTTTGTTGGATAGCAAACACCCCAGTTCCCCAACCCCCATTCATGTATTTTCTTATTTGCTTGTGTGCGCTACATGTGCGTATGCGTAACCAACCCGTTGACTTATTGCATGTCAACAATCGCTTGTTCACAATTAATCGCACGGTGTTAATATCTTAAGTGTCACCTTTAAGGTGAAAGAAATATACTGTCATAATTATTCAACCTACATTCAAAATTTGCTCATCTAATTAATTTGTTGGTTTAAAGAAAAAGAGGTTGGTTTAAAGGAAGATAGGTGCGTACTGTTTCGTTTTAAGAGAGTGGACCCATCCGACTAGCGCAGACCACGCTCCAAGATCAGCACTCACATCTATGCCGTCTAAAAATGAGCCGTGTCATGACAAAACCAACGTAATGGGTTTGCGACCAGCATGGATCCAGACCAGCCTGAGCATCCGCGCAGTCTGATCAGGATCCATGCTGTTCGCTTTCAAACCCTATAACAAGTAGAGAAACTGATAGCGAACAGCATGGATCCTGATCAGACTGCGCGGATGCGCAGGCTGGTCTGGATCCATGCTGGTCGCAAACCCACTATGTTGGGTTTTGTCGTGACGCGGCTCAAATGGTCTAATAATGGTCAACACTGCTCGCATAAATCCATACATATTTCAACATTTTCTGTGTTATGATGAATGGTTTTAATTAAATTGAAAGATGGACAAGTCCCTTTAAGATATTTAGTGTGGTAAAGGTTTATTTTACGGCTGTAAAATTGTTATTCCGCACAAGAATGAAGTCTATTTAGTTATAAGACTGTGTTAGTAGACTAATAGGTGTTCAATAGTAGACTTGCCGGTGGTCAATAGTCATTATTTAAAGGCCGTTAAAAGGCAAAAAGAAGTCTCAATGCAACATGTTTTAAAGGAAGTGTCAGAAAAAAGTTCTTACCGTAAACTGGCCGATGGTCAATAGTTAAAGACAGTAAAACGAAGAAGAGTAGTCCAAATACAATATGTTTACACATGTTTACCTTTAACGTTTATGTATGTATTTTAAAAGATGCAAATACTATTGTTTCATAAAAACAAGGGTTGACAAAAATGTATAAGTACAAACTTACGAGAAAAAGAAATTATGCACGAACTTGCAGAGCTGTCATCGATAGAGTTGATATCGATGTATCGTCGGTATTTTTCTGTCGATCAATAATCGATACACATTTGCAAAATAAAAACATTTTAAAAAATAAACATATACAAAAGTAAGTGGCCATGTCTAACAATAATCTGTTGTTACATAATGGACACATTTCATAACAATGATGACAAAAAATGGTCAGAAAAAAATGGTCAGACTAGTAATCTAATGATCGCTAGCCATATGGGTTCAAACCCCGTCATGGGCAAGTCGTTGTTTCCTTGAGCAAGAAACTTTACACTTATTGCTCAGTACTGGTTGGTTCCAGAAACGGATTCGAAAGTGTGTCTATAAGCTTATAAATAGCTTCCTACACAATCGAACTTAAATAAATTCTGTATAAACCAAACGGGATACAACATATTTGCATGAACAGAAAACTAATTTTACTAAAATCATTTAAACACTTATGAAAGAAAATAGGAGTATTTATCGATATATCGGAGTATCACCGATATTTGTCATCCGATATAGGTATATCGTCAATATGCTAAATGCACTGAATCAGTGACAGCTCTAGCACGAAGTAAATTAGCCTGAAAAGTCGAGTCTTCACGCGACCTATGTGTGGCCTACGAGGAGATTGGGAGGGTTGGTAGCATTCGTGACTGCTCTGGGTAGACTCTACTGTAACGATTTTCCAGCTTTACAGGCGGAGGAAATCCATAGGTGCCCTACGGCGGTGAGGAGAAAACGACTTGACCACTCGGCAACCAGATTCATACCTTCAAGGCCAAGGTCACACTTGGAGATCAAAGCTTCTGCTTTTTTTTCTAATATAAGCGACTTAAAAGCATGAAGTGTAATAAAAATCACATGTAACTTGGTCTCTGTGAACATTTTTAACATTCCTCATACGACCTATGTCTTTATACGTACGTATTACTATTATTTATTGACGTTACGATACATATATCTTACGTTACGCTCACATAAATACGTACATGTATAACATCTTTTGTTTTGATTGAATATGATGTATACGAGTATATATAACTCACTGAGGTGAGAGCGAGTGAGAAAATTGTAATATCTTCACACGGACGAATTCAAGTATCTTATCGTCATTTTTACGATTTTAGTAAAGTGAAAACAAATATACGCCAAACGCAACAATTTAATTTTCATGTATGTTTACGCAATTATATAAAATAATGCACATATTTTGTTTGTTTATTTATTTATTTTTAAAGGAACTCCACTGAAATAAAAAAAAAATCTGAAATCATACAATTTGAAATTGTTACATAGATCAAACGATGCACTTAAAATGGAAAATCTGCAAAGAAAAATTAAGAAATATGCTCCGAAAGAAATTGAAAATCGATCATATATATTGTGTGATTGTTAGCCCAATTCGAGTGAAACGCGTTGCAAAGCTTTTCATATTTGGTCTATTTGCACAATAAAAATATTACTCTGGAGAAAAGTGGTAAGGGAATTATAGGAAAATTTATATTCAAACTATGGGTTCAGAACTTTATCAAATGGTACGAAAAGCTTTGGAAAACTTTTGGCAGTTATGTCGAAAAGCCTCAGTGGAGTCCCTTTATAGTATCTTGTTATTTGTTATACTTTATGGAATGGCTATTCAAGTCTGTTATGTCTGTGTTGTTTGTGTCACATACATGTATGTAAGCATGTATAGATGAAACTATTATAAATGAATACAAAAATAAATAAATACACACGTTTTACCTCTCCCACCCATCATCACCCACCCTCCATGCAAAAGTAACGGCATTGTCACAATAAGAAAGACAAGAGAAATGCTGGAAATAGCTATTGCTTAGCTTGAATCTTAATTAGTTGATTTTAGTTTAATTTCGTTTATGCGAATTTATTTGAGTCCGATAACGAATTGTGTTGAAAATCACATGCTTATTGAAACAATATTAAATAAAGTTGCATAATTATATACTTTTACATTTCGTGACTTTCACCAAACCACATCGAATGTGGGCTATGATGTCGTTGCAATATGAGGTACAAAAATTTCACCATGCCTTTTTTGTGACACATTCGTACTGATGTGTGAAGAATTTGTAACGTACTTTTTTCACGCGTGACGTGAACTTTGCTATCAAATAAAAAAAGATAAAGTACAGTAGTAGTGCGAATGATATGTAATGAGTAGGTAAATCTGTCTGTCTTTCTGTCTCTGTTTTTTGTTGTTGTTTTTTGTTTGTTGTTGTTTTTGTTTTGTTTGTTTGCTTGTTGTTTTTTAACCTTTTTCTTCGCTTCATTTAGATTGGCTGAATCATTCAGTCATTCATTGGCTATTGTAACCCGGATGTGACATTCTCAAGCGTATCAATGAACCTCCGTTACAAACGTCACCATTTGTAAACCATCACGGAAGTTCAGTTATTTTCTATTTAATTTGTATGATAAGGTTATAAAGTTTTTTTCAAATAATGCGACACTTAAACGCTCTGAAAAAGGGGACATAACGGGATCAATGAGGGAAAGGGTTTTTCCCGTCTTTTTTATTATTAAATTAGTACTTTTTATCAAAAAAGAAAGCACTTCCATACAGTTTTGGGGAATAGTTAAACTTTAAAGTGAATTGGTCTGTAGTACATAAATAGTTACGTTGATAAACAAATAAAATCTACGGACGAGTAATTTGTTAGGTACCTGTCCAGTCAATGTTGCTCTTTTACTTTAATTATTAATTGGAATAATGATGCAGTTGATAGGTAGATAACCTCTAGATCTACTGGTGCAGACTTATTTATCCTTCCTGAGATAATGTTTATCAGGCGCTATACCAAAATAAACAAACAAACACGCACAAAAACTATATAAAAATAAAATACACAATGAAGTATAAATGTTGGTAACTCATTAACCAGCTCTATACAGTAGTGGAATTTACTTTATCATCAAAATTATTGTTAAATACTATAATACATTATGTATTATAAAATCACCATTATACATGTATATCATATTATACATATATACTAATCTAAATAGTTCCTGTTTTTATTTCACTTATATTACATGTATAATCATATTTACTGAAAACCCATTTATAACCCATTACAAAACTTTATGCACTATGTATAGGTGAAAGTAAAAGTGTGTACTTATATATATCAGCAAAAACTATCTGTATTTGATAACATACCATTATATATATCATATCATAAATATTCAATTTACAATGTACCCCTATGTTTAGCATGGATAAATCAAATACATTGAAACGTTTACACCTGACGTTTTTGTACAGATAGAAATCGGGAAAATTAATGTTCAAGTATTCGGGAAAGTTTAGTTTCTTTTTCCTCTTGACTTAAGTTAACAATACGTTTATTTATTATATATGGATATTAATAAAAAGTTTAATAATAAAAACGGTATGTATAATAATTTGTTTTTTTTCCTTTTGTTTGCCTGTATATATGTTTGTCTGTTTGTGTTTTGAATGAACTATAATTATATTGCCTGTTTGTCTGTCAGTTTTTCTGTCTGTCTTTTTGTTTGTCTTCAATAATCATATACTTTACATACATTTTTTGAAAAATTTACATTGAGTGTGTATATAGTACACCTAATTTTTCGTTCACTACGTAAGTATATGTTGCAGTAAACAAACACACTGTGTTATAACACTTGTAAATACATTTGTACAGTCGTTTTATAAACGACCTACTATTTACTTATATGAACAAGAAAAGCATAGTATTCGTTACAATATTCATGTACATGCATTTAATTAACTGAACAAACGTTACAGTGTGACAGCAACAAAAATAAAAAACAACAAAACACACACAAAAACAAACAAACAAAAAGCCGCACACAGAGAAAATGGCTTACCAAAAAGGTTAACAAAAATACCTAAAGATAGAAAAATAGTCGTAGAGAAGATGATTACCAATAAAGTAAATAGATACAATGAGCTTGTGTTTAATGTTTATAGTCATCAATTTACAATCGTAAAATATTATGATTTAAACCCTTGTATAAAAAATATTTCCCCTATTCCCCGGGAAAAAGGAAATTTTTTAAGGGGGATACCGCAAGGATATAAAATTCATAAACAATCTATTTCCCAAATAGCATAAATTTTATTCCCTTGCATTTTAATTTTTAAAAGAGTCAATGAAGTAAAAAGGGAAGCTATTTAAAAAAATATTAATTTTAAAAAATAATTTCTTACAAAAACAAAACAACCCGAAAAAACCCGGTTGTTTCATTAACTGCTTTAAATACATTTAAGTTAACCCTTACATTTTGCGGTTTGAAAAATTATCCCTGCATTTTAAAAAAAACTCAAAAGTAAAACGGCTTGTCAGCAAAAATTTTAATCGAAATCTAATTTAAATTTGGGCGTAATTTAAACTGCCAGTATATGAAATTTTCACTTTAATAAAATTGGCATTTTCCCATGTTTATAAACCCAATTAAAATTTTTAAATTTGGTCAAGTCTTATTTAACAAGCCTTTGATTTTTTCCAGTCCAAAATTTCCCCCAATTTCCCTCAAAATTGTACTTCATAAGCCCCGTTTTTATTTTCCCAGTTTTTTTTGATCAAGAAAAAATTTTCCCTATTGAATTAAGTAATTTTTACTCTGCTTTTTGTCGGTTTAAATTTTATTTTCGAAGTTATCCCCTCTTGCATACCTGAAATCCTTTTAAAAAAATTTTAAATTTTTCCAAAAGCTTAAAAAATTCGGATTTTTTTACATACGATTTCAAAAACATTGTTGACTTTTAGTGTTAATTTTTTTTAAATTTTAAAATTTATTTTCCTTTAAAAAAAAAAAAAGGGCAATGTCCCTTTCGGAAAAAACAATACTGATTTTTTTTGGGAATTTTGTGACTGCGGGAAACCTAGCGCCCTTTTCAATTTTAGTATTCGGTTTCCCGTTTAAT